TCAGTTAGGCTAGGGACTTCACTCACACTGCTTGCACCCAACAGTAGAAGGTCATGAATTCACTAGATACAGCTTACTTCGGTAACTTTATGTAGACATTGTCCTCTGATATGTAATGGCTTAACGCAACAGTAGAACTGTGGGAGATGGTGTTTTCAGTATGGTCTGTCACACACCCTTCTAGTTCATCCTCATCCTGTTCCTGAGCTGCTCAACTCCAACTTGAAGTAACAGTCAAAGTTACTTTATGACTGGCTGTTTACCACCAGTTAGTTTGTCTTTGTACTGAGCCCCTTGAGGATCACGACCATGGGTTTCTTTAAGTAAACTCTTGCGGACGTAGTGCTTATGGAACACCCTGTCTGATGTGAGGATGCGTTTCTGTTTTATGAATATGCTTGGCCTTGTCAGGTGTACCATGTTGCACATATAGCATGTTATTGAAAATTCTTGCTTTTGCACCATATTCAAGTCATCACTTTGTGTCAGTCCAGGCTTTTCAAAGCAGATCGTGCTTGTCCTACTTATCTTATGCTACAACTGCAGCTTAGCCACATGATCAGTTGTAAGCTTACCACTGCCAAGTTTAAGCCTCTTATATTTTCTTTCTGGCCTTGCCTTCTCCTGTACTGCAAACATGTTCGGTCTCATGATTTTTATGACTTCTGTTTTGCCTGCACAATTTTGTTATACAGGGCGTTCAGTGATCAAGGAAACCTGGCAGCAGCTCAGAGCGGGCACAACGTTTCTCACAGATTGCTGCTGTAACTGCCAATAGCAGAGTGTCATTAGTGCTCGTAAACACACACCGTCAGGTGGTCTGATCTTGTCACTGCAGTAAGTCGCATTACTAGTCAGTCTTTGTTAGAGGTGTTGTGATAGGTGGTCGATATTTATGCTAAAATGAAGTGCACTATTGAACATTTTGTGTTTATTGTCAAAACTTTTGCAAGGGAAAAAACTTACAAAAATGTATCCATAAGTTTCGTCATAAATATCCTGACTCGCCAGTTCCCACAAAGTCGTGTGTATCCAAGCTTGTGAAAAAGTGGCTGGCCACAGGTTCAGTGTGTGATATAAAGAAGCAATCGAAGAGGATTGTGCTGACTGAAAAAAAGGTTCAGGATATTGAGGCGTGACTGCAGATCAGTCCTCAAAAATCATTAAGACGCTTAGCACAAGAAACCAGTATTTCGCTAGGATCTGCTTTCACAGCCACAAAATTAATCACATTTCTTCCATACAAAATAACATTTGTGCATGAGCTGAAACAACCAGATTATGCAGCAAGAATTTGTTTTTGCAACTGGCTGCTGCAAAATGTGCACTGCAGTAACAAGCTCAGACCACCTGATGGTGCGCAATTATCAGCGCTAATGACCCATTCTGCTGTCAGCAGTTACAGAAGCAATATGTGAGAAATGTTGTGTCTGCTCTACACTGCTGCCAGTTTTACTCGATCATTGAATGCATTGTATAATTGTATACATATGGGAGGTTGAAAGCCATGCGCAAATCGTGGACTGGTGTGCACCTGCAAAATTTCCAGTGGTGGAACCTTGTTTCGTAAACACTGCAATTTTAAGAGGTAGGTGTCTGCCGCTAATTCCCAGGCAGGGCAAGCATAAGTCGTTACTGATCTGATCAGTATGTTATGGAGGGTTAGTTTAATGTTTTCACTTAAATGCTCACTTTTGAGTAGGGAATAAATTCTAATAAATGTTCTGCAGATTTTGGCTTCTATCATTGCTGTGTGCAGTCTCCATGTAGTCCTTTTATTGAAGATTACACTGAAATATTTTGCCTGATTTCTGTCAGTTAGTGTAAGATGAGCCTCAGGGGACCTAAGTCTATGAGAGAAGTAGATGGCCTGAGTCTGATTTTTATGTTGCAGCGCTTCAGTTCATTCAACGTCAGAGTCACTTTATGACGGGCAGTTTACCACCAGTTAGTTCGTCTTGGCATTAAGCTCCTTGATGCCCACAATCACAGATTTTTTTTAACTGAATTATTGCAGTTATAGTTTGTATGTAACATCCCCTTACAAGAAGCTTTTGCTTGGCCATTTATTAAGTGTGCATATTGCATGTATAGCATGTTATTGAAAATTCTTCCTTTTACTCTATATACAGTTCCTCTGTCAGTACAGGCTTTGCAAAGATAATGCCTGTCTGATATATCTTATGCTACAGCGGCAGCTTAGTCACTGGAATGGTCATTAGCTTGATCACCGCCAAGTTTAAGCCTCATATTTTTTGTTTCTGGCTTCACCTTGTCCTGTACCACAAACATGTTCATTCTCATAATTTTGTATGACTTCTGCCATATGGCTTCCAGGCTTTCTGTGAAGGGTAGCAGGTATTCCTGGGCCACCATGAATATCCGTCACATGGGTTCCAATTTGTTGCTGCAGAAACATGTTTGCCACACTGTCTCATATCAACAGCTTCCTCTTTTTTATTCCACTGTTCTGGCTTTTAGATGTTAAGTCACAGTATTTATGAACAAAATACATGGAAGTTACAGCATTTCTTATTTTGGCTAATACATTGAAAATAATATAATACTGTTGGTGGCCTTTGGGCTCAAACCATTCATGTATTAGCATGCTTGTAGTAATTGCCTGATGAAGACCCAGTACTGATTCAACGAAGTGTGTAATAAAATGATCTTCCAGGATGTAACATGGTATAATATGATAGGTAAAGTACCTATGTCTGGGGGGAATGTGCTGCCTCCATGTTACTGTTGAGTTAGCAAAGTTGGGATAATGATACATTATGTAGATGCAGGAGGAAAGGCAACAGGTCAACATGGAAATGGTGAACTGAACCTGGGGTTGAGGGAAGAAGGATGGGACCCAGGCAGACAAATGGGAATTATAGGCTGTCAAAAGGCAATTACTCTAGAGTGAGGAAGGAGGTGTATTAGGTGTATTTGTTTTGGCAGTGTAGAAAAAGAACAGATGTACCAATTTGGGCAAGGACAAGTAGGTGCACATGTTCCAGCAAGGAGATCACCTATTGTGAAAAGGAAAGTGCTATTGTATGCCTGCACATACACAGAAGGATGAGAAATTGAGTCTTTGGCGAGTAGAGAAGGAAAAGGTCCTGAGGGGAAACCACAGGCTGTGAATAGGGCAGTTATCAGTTAACAATTTTAGGTCCCTTACTTTTTCTTCTCTACATAAATGATCTATCTAAAACCATCAACAATAAATCTAAACCAATTCTATTTGCAGATGACACTAGTATAATATTTAAGAACTCTAAATTTGAAAACTTTAAAAATTACATAAATATTGTATTTGAAGCCTTAAACAGATGGTTCGAAGCCAATTTACTCTCATTAAATTTTGATAAAACCCATTACATATCATTCACAACTAAAAACAACCACCAAATTGATCTGGACATCAGTTATGCCAACAAATTAATCTGTAAAGTACTTGATACAAAATTCCTTGGAATACATGTAGACAGTACACTGTCTTGGAAAATACATATTGAACAAATTATACCTAAATTAAATGCAGCTTGCTATGTGATGAGATCAATTAAGCCTTTTATGTCACAGGAAACATTGAAGATGGTTTACCATGCCTACTTTCATTCTATTATGAACTATGGATTAATATTTTGGGGGAACTCTTCACATAGTGTAATAATTTTTAAAATACAAAAGAATATAATTAGAATCATTACAGGATGTAGAAGTAGAGATTCATGTAGAGAATTATTTAAGAAATTAAAAATTCTACCTCTTCAATCGCAATACATATTATCGCTTCTCTTATTTGTTGTTTACAACAAAGATAAATTCAAATTAAATTCTGATGTCTATAACATGAATACTAGACAAAAATACAACTTCCACCTACCCTCATCAACTTTATCAGTATATCAAAAAGGAGTCTACTTTACTGGCATAAAAGTGTTCAACAATCTGCCACAAAGTATTAAAAACTTGGGCAATGATACTAAAAAGTTTAAATCAGAGTTAAAGAATTATCTACATGCTCATTCCTTCTACTCTTTAGATGAATACTTCAATGTAAATAGAGAATGATGTAAAATTAAGTTATATTAATTTTTAAGCTAAAATTGCCTGTACTTATGTATGTAACCCTTTGACTTGTTCTGTATTCAGAGGTACTAACCTGCTTAGGATTTATAGAATATAAATAAATTCAATTCAATTCAATTGCAGAGGCCTTGAAAATGACACTTTCAAGAGAGCCTTTTGAAGGCAGGACTCTCAAGGTGTTAGGGTTAGATAAACATAGTACAGCAAATAAATCATTACCCTTCCCTGCCCTCTCGTCTGTCACTTGAGATCTTCATTTAGGATAGTGAAGTAATAGCAAATAGCAGAGACAATGGTACTGTAGAAATAAGTAGAAGTTAAATAAGTACCACACAAAAATTACTAGTCTGTGACATACAGAGTGAGCCCTTGTATTTGAACAAAAAGTGATTACTGATCTTGGTGTGGTTGAAAATCCACAGTGCCATAGATTGTAGGGGCTAAGGCCTAATTACAGAGTAATAAATAATAGAATACAAATAATACGAGTACAAATTAAGTCATGGGAGCTGGGATAGCACAGTTGGTATAGTGCAACAGAACTCTGTTATGCATTGACTGTAGCACTGGACTATTTTAGCATCTTTACTGAACCAATAGTAACTGGCCAGGTATTGTTCTGTTCACAGCTGGTAAACCTTTTATCCACAGCTATGTTATTTCTGTTTGTTTATATTTATTCCCTCACACTTCCTGTCACCTAATAATGTTGTACTGTGGCCTGTTGCCATATTTTGCTGTCAAAGCGGTTCCTGCAATATATTTATGTGACTCTTGTGAATGTAGAACATAATGCTTATACTTAAGGTATGTAATTAAAATTCACTGTATATATTTTCCAGAACATGTAATTTCCAAAGTTGTATGTTCTTTTCTTAATGTGTGTACAGTGTACTACTGCTCTTTGTTCATAGTTGAAGTAGAATGGTGGAAACTGAGGGGGAGCAGTTTTCATTACGCTGGAACAACTTCCACAGTAACTTGACTTCTGGGTTCCATGCACTTCTGCAGGGGGAAGATCTAGTCGATGTCACACTTGCAGCTGCTGGACAGTTTGTACAGGCACATAAAATTGTCCTGTCTGTATGCAGTCCGTACTTCAAGGAACTTTTTAAAGTGAGTACAAGAAAATATTTAGGAAATTATTGAAGTACTTAACCCTGGTCTAACAGTTCTCAGTTTCTTCTTGTCATGCATCTGTTACTTTCGCTATTTCTAGCTAGAGACTGAAATTGGCATGTCTTGGTGAGTTTTTAGTGGGCATTTCAGTAGTTCACTCACTCACTCACACACACTCACCACTCTCACTCACTCAGTAAGTCCATCAGTCAGTCATGGAGCTGAGCCCTTCTTGAGAAGACACCAATTGTGCAGCTACTCAAGAACTTCCCAGCATTTTATGAGACCTGAAGGTTCATTACCGTGTTTACAAAAGCCCTCCACTGGTTCCATACCATCCCATCCTATCTCTCTAAGATCAGTTTTAATATTGTCCACCCACCCATGCCTTGGTCTTCCCAGTGGTCTCTCTCCATCTGACTTTCCGACCAATATCCTATATGCATTCGTCTTCTCCCCCATTCATGCTACATGCCATGCACAAATCATCCTCCTTGACTTGATCATTCTAATTATACTTGGAGGAGAGTACAAGTTATGAAGCTCCTCATTATGCAGTTTTCCCCAACCTTCTGTCACTTCATCTGTCTTTGGTCCAAAATATTCTGAAAACCCTCAGTGGGCGTTTCGGTAGTTACACATGTTTTTCAGTACAGCTTCCATGCTTACTGACAACTGAATTTGTCAAAGTGTTTGAAAAGATGTGAGTAGTAGCATTGAATTCTTCTAGATGCAGTTAATATTGTAGGTGTCAGCATGAAATTTTTGTTCGCCTGTATGAGCTAGAACCCTAAGAATTTTTCAACCCTACTACTAATGTACTGGAAGAATTTAGTTATGAATATGGCTCTTCAGGTATCTTGTGTATAGGCAAATAAGTTGAAAAATTAATTTCCATTTATGGGGCTAGTAAAAATAATGTGGCTGAACTAGCACCTACAGGTCAAAGAAAGTTGGCAGTGGTATGAAATTAATTTTGGTGCAAGTACAATCAGCATAAATGTCTTTGTACTTCTCTGGGGCGTCTTGTGCTCTACAATATGGGGAACAAAAAATAATTGTTTTCATGACTTTTTGAAGTTCATTGTTTATTGGTACTGTCAGTATTGAGACTAAAATGATGGCTTTTAAAATGGTTTATCCATCAAATCAATAAATAGCCTTTCTTACCAACAAGACAGGCCTTATCCAAAGTGAGAAAAAATATTAGCCTGCTGGTTTATATGCCCTTTTGCTGAGTAAAAAAAAATGGAATAACCATTGTCAGTGATGATCTCCTCCTCCATGGAGTTGAGCTCTTGAGAAACTGCCAATTGAGTAGTTATTCAAGAAATTCCCAGCATTTTATGGAACCTGAAAGTTCGTTACTGTGGTCTTCCTAGTGGTCTCTTACATTCTACCTTTCCCACCAGTATCCTATATACATTCCTCTTCGCCCCCATTCGTGCTACATGCCCTCCCCATCTCACCCTCCTCTACTTGATGGTTCTAATTACACTTGGCAAAGAGTACATGTTGTGAAGCTCCTCCTTATGCAGTTTTCTCTAACCTCATGTCACTTCATCTCTCCTCAATCCAAATATTCTCCTCAGCACCCTGTTCAAGCTTATTTTTATAATGAGGAGTTATTAGCCCCACGTTCAAACCCCAAGCTGGAGAACCACTCTTTCTTGGCTGTCTGCCACTGCTTATTCAATATATTTGCAGCTACCCTCCATATATGGATGCTGTCTCCTCCATCTGCAACCTGGGGACGTGCCATCGTATAGTGACAAGGTACCAACCTAACATGGTTGAGATAATTGAATGGTAAAAGTTTTATTGATAGGCCACTTTTTAAACGAAGCAGTTTCAAATTACTTTCATTGATACGTGGATATATCACATTCCAATTACGCAAGAGTGTAGATAATGTAGTTTACTTTCCATATCTGACAGGTTCTCAAATTTCCCCAAATGTGGGTATGCCGTTGGAGAAGGTAGGGAGTATGCTTGTACTGCCTGTAGAAGAGTATTTCAAATGAACAGTTCTTTTGCTATAAAATATGTCTATTTCTTCACAATACAAGTAACTCACATTATGTCCAAATAAGTAATGCTTTCTGAGTACATTGGAACTTTGCTTAACGAGCACCTCTCATAGTGAGTAATTCGCATAACGAGAAAAACAAATTGTAAAAAATGACTCGCTTAACGTGCTACGTTTCGCATAATGAGTGACGAGAGGGGAAGTCCCAGGTTGTGCGCTTGCTACATCAGTCTGTGTTTAGCACTTGTTCCGCTAGCATCTTAGTGTCACTTGTGATCACACATTTTTCCAAACTTGTGTTCAGACATATTATTTGTGATTTTCTTTGTGCAAAGTTTAATAACCTTGCAAAAATGTCCCCAAAGAAAAAGCCGCAAAAAGACAGCCATAAGAGAATAAAAATAACCGTAGAAATGAAACGTAAAATCATTGAAAAGCGAGAACAAGGTGTGAGCCTGGCTAATCTAGCATGCACATACAATCGTTCTACATCAACGATTTGCACGATTTGGAGTTGCATTGTGTTTCACAGCAAGAAGTTGAGGAGAGTTTGTCAGAGGAGGAGGAGGAGGAGGAGGAGGTAACAGCAAAGCAACAGTCTTCTGCCGCAAGAAGAGAAATGATGAAAGCATGGGAATCTGTTGCATCATACATTGAGAAGCATCACCTTAATAAGGCAGTGGCTGTGCGCACTACAAATTTATTTAATGATAATGCTGTGTCGCATTTTCACCAAATTTTGAAGCATCGGCAAAAACAAATGTCTCTAGACAGCTTTCTAGTAAAAAAGAATTAGATATATATCATAAATAATAAACTAATTAGTTTGATTTGTTTTCTTATGTTTTCTGCAAATCGAATTCGCATTCCAGGTTGGTTCATTCCGCCTAGAAGAAAAGATGATTCACTCTCCTTAACAATGTATATATAATTTTCTTTGAATAAACGTTATACATAAATTTTTTTTTGTCATGGAACGCATTATCATATTTTACATTAATTTATATGGGAAAAATTGTTTCGCTTAACGAGCGTTTTGCATTACGAGTAAAATTCTGGAATGAATTATGCTCGTTAAGCGAGGTTCCACTGTACTTGTCTTCCATTAAATTAATCATACCATATTGCCATCAAATTTTTGTTGTTGTTTTTATGCCCAAGTTTGTGCTGCACATTACTCCTCATTTTCATTAAGAAAGTGGGTTCCACTGAGTGTCACTTTTGAGGGCCCAGAGATGTGATAATCACATATTGTGAGATCTGGTGATTACAGTGGTGTGGGAGGACTTTTGTGGTGGGTTGTTTGAGTGGTGCAATTGTTGTTTGAGAAGTACGCAAACACATGTTGTGCTGCTGCAAGAAGATGCCTGTTATCTGTAATACCTATCTTTGCCTAATTTCTGGCGTCAAGGTTCTCCTTCAAAAACTTGCAATATATTTTGCTGTTTATTGTGGATCCCATCTGCAGGAACCATCGCACTGTGATGTACACAGAATGTAATATTTCACTGGGCATGGAAAATCTACATTTTGCCATGGGATTTTAAACAGCATACTTATGTAAATATTATGATCTTCCTGTTTACCATATTGAAAGAATGAAAGTATAGCTGCATTAAATTAAAGAAAAATAAAATGAAAGGAGCAGGGGGTATCTCAGAACAATATCTGTTGAGGATATATTGATTGTGGAGTTGGAAAAATATAAGCATAAAATGTAGAGAGAGGGAGAAGAATGGGGGTTTCATTATATCATTATATTTGTTGCTCACAGGTAAATCCATGCAGACATCCCATAGTTATCTTGAAGGATGTGGGTCACAAGGAGCTGGTCGCTATCTTGCAGTTTATGTACCAAGGAGAGGTTAATGTACAGCAGGAGGAACTGTCTGCTTTCCTCAAGACGGCAGAAATGCTGCAGATCAAAGGACTGACTGGAGATGACTCACCATCAACGGTAGGTATCTTGTTATTGTGTTACCCAAGGGATAGCCTTTAATATAAATGTTGGTTGTGCATTTTCAAAGCAAATAGACTTTTATCCCTATTTTTCCTTTTCTTTTATGCGTGAAGGTTCTGTATGTAATATACGTGCAGTACTATGAGTACTACATGTAATGGGAATCTTGCTGTAACCTCTTGTTTAATGCTTTCATTGAAGATTTGAAAGCTCCATTGAATAAAACTGTTAATAAGTGAAAAATCTCTATTATCATAGTTATAGACAGAAACAGTGTCTGCATATAATTCCTTAAAAACTCTTATGTACCCCTGCAATCTGTTATACATTTCATTTAGAACTAGTAATTAGGATGATTTTATTGTTGTAAATATGTTTTATAGTTTGTCTTGTAATACTCTTGCTGTGCAGGGTTTGGGGCTAACTATTCTATGAGCTTAGTGGAGTAGAATTCTTACTCTTATCCAGTCACATAATGGATGAAACAGATCCATTTTTAAACACTATGGTTAAAATCTGGAGTATTGGACAGTATCTGAACAAAATGTTCGTCAGAAACTTTCAGACTTTAGGTTGACTTCAGTCTAATTTCAGCATTGTTATTCATACCGTGTTGATTATAAGTATTTTAACTACTAATAATTTATTATACATGAAAGGTGCCAGTCTGTAAAGGAAAGAATACCTACTGTTAAAAAGAACTTAAATAATCTTAACAATCAAGCATTTGTCATAATACAACATTGTGTTGATGGGTGCATCATGGCAGAGATGTGGTTGTCATTGTGTTCATAAAATGGAATTTTGTGCAAAATAATGACTTGATAATTTACTGACATTCATTTTTACATGTTTCCTCTGTCACGGCTAATGCCAACCGGAAATCCCAGGTCCGTGTTTCTGGTGTTCTTTCCTCACCTTTTGAAGTTCTCTCCGGTGTACCTCAGGGATCTGTCTTGGGACCCCTTCTTTTCAATGTGTTTATTAATGACATGTGCGATGCAGTTGCCCATTCTGAGTGTCTGCTTTTTGCTGATGACATCAAAATTTACCAAGCCATTAGTTCTCCTCAGGACTGCTATCTACTTCAGTCTGACATTAACCCTATACAAGGTTGGTACATTGCTAACTGTATGAAACACAACATCAGTAAAACTAAAGTTATATCCTTCTCCAGGAAAACCAACATACTTATCTACGGATCAATTCTATAAAAGACCTTGGAGTGTTTATTGATGCTAAGCTATATTTCCATGACTAGGTCAATTACATTTTCTCTCACTGTGCTAAACTGTTGGGTCTAGTCCATAACATTACTTTCAGTTTCTCATCTCTAGACTGTATGTTCAGATTGTACACTGCATTAGTTAGATCTAAGCTTGCATATGCGTCCGTAGTCTGGAATTCAATTACGTCAACTTATGCCAACAAGCTGGAACGCATCCAGCAGAGGTTTGCGGCCCTTTGTTTTAATCGTTTCTTTCCTCAAGTTTATTACAATTATTCTCTTGCTCTTGAGGAGTTAAAATTGCATACTTTACATACTAGGAGACATCGCCTTGATGCTCTCTTTCTTATTCACGTTTATTTTGGCTCAAAATTCTNTATTATTATTATTTGCATGTGCAATAAAACAATAAACTGAATTATTATTATTATTATCCTCTGAAAGTTCATTTCTTTTCATTTCTTAATTAAATATTTATGTTTCATTTCTCACTTCTTAAACACATTTTCACTGTTCTGTTCAGAGTACAAAGCTTCAGATCCCATGGAAAGTTAGGCATACATACAAAATGTGAAGAAAATTTACATGCCTTCCCATTTATATGAAGCCAAACTAATTTTCCAAAGAGAACATCTGATGTTAAGCTATGTAAAAGTGTCCCTTAAAAAATTTTACCCCATTTTGTTTTCAGAAAAAAAATTACTGAATGCAGCTGATATTCAGTAAAGAGTAGAGTTCTATCTTCTGGGATATAACACAGTGTAGTCCACTGAAAGTCAACGAATGTTTCAAAGGAATGTCGCTTCCATCTTCAGGGTTTAAAAAATAGCCAACTGAGATAGAATTCTTCATAACTTCAAATCCTACATAATGTACATCACTTTGGAAGTAGATTCCATAGGGTTCTGATGATGGTGTATAGCACTCAGAATTACTGGATTTTTGGATTCTGTCCATTATCTTGTATCCTAAAAACTATCAAACACAATTTTTCAGAAACTGGATCTCTTTCCTTCCCCAGGTGACTGGGAGACACCTACTCTGTGGGGTCCCTTAGAAAGAGCTAACCTCAATCACTGGACCTGAAACATTGTACTCTCTAGTTTTTAGGATAACATATACCAGTAACTGTGAGTACTCTGGAAATTTCCCACATTAGGTAACAAAATCTCAGAAATTTTGTTTTAAAATGAGCATCTGACAGTAAAGTTCATTGAAAACAAAGATATGTTATAGAATTCTTAATGGCTGAGGATGAAAACAATAAGGATTATTCATTAACCCGTTGCCGTGGTTCGACGTGTATGTTTCGTCAGGGATTTAAATCGTCTGGGGGGGTTCGACGTGTATGTTTCGTCCAGCTGCACACCTATGTTATAACGCCCATAATAATTGATGGTTTTGCTGTAGATTGTTAGATTTTTCGCTGGCCTGTTGTCAGTAGAACAGAGTATAATATGACACGTCTTTATCTGCGCTAAGTCATTGTTACATATGCCTGTCTTGCAGCAAAGTTCATGTGGCTCTTGCTAGCGGTTTCACCGTAATGAATGTCGTGTTTCCTTTGCTACGAAGTTATAAACAGCAGAGACGTGATGTGATGTGTTTATAATATCATATTGCCCTGAGCTGGCCACAACTAACACACTCAATTGGAATTCTTAGAATAAGGATGTCCAGAAATTTATTCTGGCATGATCCATTGATTTCGCACAGTACAAAGGCCCAGTTCTTAGAAAAACGCCACAATTTAAGGCAGAACACTGTGGTCACCCCCTGAGACGATACGGATGTGTGTGGGGGAGGGAAAAGAACTCATTCCTTCATGTATTATCGCTCCAGTTGACGCCATTTTATCGTACTGACCTTGGTGGTCGTTTCGAGGGATGACCATAAATATTTTTTTTGAGCCAGCTAAGCTCTGCTTTCGTTCACTATATACCAGCCAGTTCTTATAATAACTTCATGAATTCTGTGGTCACCCCTACGACATCTGGGGCAGCCAAAAAGGTTGGAATCTGAAACGCAGAAGCACCAAACCCTTGTTATGATAACACAAAGGTTGAATTTACTGCAGCTAATCTGTCAAAATATACGACTCACGGAGAGACATTTCCACTTGTATTCCCCCCACGGGGAAGAAGGCAGGGCCGCACAGAAGTGTGGTTAGAAAAAAAAGAGCAAAAGAAAAGATACGCAGTATTGGTTTGGTGAATGTGAGCCAGCGCTGTGTTTAGACTAATGCTTCAAGGCGTCACCTGCTTACATAGCCGAGATACCGGGTGCTCATATTATAAGGCAAGGTTATAAAACCATCTTTTAAGATCATTTTAGTGAAAGTTTCATCCTTCAAGGCGTACCATTCACTGCTCAAATACTAAACAACCTGCACCCATGGCCGAGATACAGGGCTCCCATATTATAAGGTAAGGTTATAAAACCACAATTTAAGATCATTTTAGTGAAAGTTTCATGTTCCTATCTCATAGAATTTAAGAACAATGATGAATAAATAATTTTCGAGCAAAATTTAAATGGCCGGCTGAATATATTACCACAGGAGCCGCGGCCGCGGAATTTAAATGACCACGTCAAAGGGTTAACCTTTTGATTGTATGATGCATTAAAGTCCGAACACACACTTAGTACTTTAGGTAATTTACTGCTAACCTTGAATTCTAAGTATGAAGACACCTTCAACCAATTTGACTCAGATTTTCATCCTTACCTGGATTTTTGTCACAACTGAAGTTGAAGCATCTCAGTTATTTGTGCAGTTAATTTCTTTACTGTTTTTTTTCCTTCACAAGTTGTGTTGCTGAATGTGATAACAGTATACTTTGATGAATTTTGTTCGTTGTTTAACCCTTGATTGATAACAGTTTTTGTATGAAGAGTTTTAACCATTTTCATTAGAGTTGCACTATAAATGTAGATTTACTTTTCACTGCAGCACTAAGGAACAACAGTTGAATAAAGAATTGAATTCTAAACTGGCAAGACCCTAAAGTTGACAGAATTTGACACAGATTTTCTTGACCTTGACCCTAGAAATTGAAACTATAATGATTAAAATTGCAGAAAACCGATAGAGATTTCCATTGCATTATGTTATCTTCTGATGTATGAAAAGGATTCTCAGGTTCCAGATATTTGTGTTGATCCATCCTATANGTTTGATGTTACGTACATTATTAACGTTACAGAATCCACATATTCCTGCCAGTTTTAATATCTATTTTGTAATCAACAAGTGTGTAACCCCGGTCAAAGTTTGACACTTCTCTGGCCATTATCTCCGTAACCGTTCAACTTTGGACATAGGTGTTTTGGGTTATATCGGCATACTTTAACATAAGGAACACCCTCCCGAAGTTTGGCACATTCCTCCTGGGACACCCTGTATGTACATGGTGCAATCCAAAAGTTCCCAAAATATATTAATAAAAACTATTACGTCTTGCCTTGATCTTATTCTGCACCATCACCTTCAAAGTAGTCGCCTTGGGAGTACATACACTGATCCCAGCGTTTCTGCTACCTTTGACATGCATCTTGGAAGTCTTTCTTTGTTAGGGTATTTAATACCATCTGCATTTCTGCTTAACTTTCCTCAGCTGTATCAAATCTTCGCCCCTTCAACTTGATTTTCATCTTGGGGAAGAAAAAAGTCGCATGGAGCTAAGTCTGGCGAGTACACTGGGTGGAGAACAGCTGACATCTTGTTTTCAGCCAAAAATTCCTGCACAATGTAAGCCGTATACAGTTGTGCGTTGTCATGGTGGAGTACCCAATTGTTCGTGCTCCACTTCTCTGGACGTTTTCTCCTCATGTCCTCCCTCAAATGCCTTAGAACATCGCAATAGAACTCTTTATTGACTGTCTGACCAGGAAGGATGAACTCCTTATTAACAATCCCGTTAATATAAAAAAAAACATATCAACATGGACTTAATGTTACTCTTGACTTGTCGAGCTCTTTTTTGGCCAAGGTGAAGAAGGGCTCTTCCATTGTGATGATTGCTGCTTACTTTCAGGGTCCCAGCCATAAACCCAACTTTTGTCACCTTTGAAAGAAAGTTTGGATCCTCTTGAAGCTGTTGTTGAAGTTCCCTGCAGACTTCCAAGCGATGCTTGGATGCTGGTGTGATGCCGGTTGATGGCCGTCCAGAACGATCGTCATCATCAGTCGATGTTCAGCCATTTTTTGAAACGCTTATACCAGTCTTAAGTTTCTGTCTGGCCTAAACTGTTGTCACCAAAAGCTTGCTTCAACATTGGTGCGTTTCGGCAGCGGTTTCCCCAATTTTAAAACAAAACTTTATGCAGACACGCTGCTCTCTCAGGTCAGCCATCACAAAACTGCAAACTCATAGAAACACAACAATGGAAATATGTTCACCAACAATAAACCCAACCGCTCAACTTGATGCTGCCTGCCACACTGATTTTTTTATTGTAGAAAAAATATTATAAATACAAAAAAGGCCTAGACATTGCACATCCGGCCTTCTGTAGCACATTCTTATAAATATCTTATTCTATAATAGTGGTTACCCAGCGACTTTTGATATATATCTTAACTTAAATCTCAGAGTATACTGTTAATGATCAGTACAATTACTTCTTTTGCTTTTCTTACATATCTATTTTATATAAATATAGGAATATTGTTTATGAAGTAAATTCAAGAAGGGTGTGTGGGGAGACACCTAGCGGTATTTCGATGTACTCATAACCATTCGCGCCCAAAATTCAAATTTCGAGAACTTTTGGATTGTACCACGTATTTTGGAGTGGGTTAAAGCTACAATATTTTGTGTGCACAGTATATTAGAGACATTTTTTTTTGTTCTGATTTTGAAAGTGCGATGACTGTGGTGAATGAATAATGCTGCTTGGGGGTCAGAAAAAGTGTCTAGGCATGTGTCATTAGGCCTGTATATTTACTGAAAGAAGCAAATGTTAACAATTCATGAAACCTTATGAGAGGAACATTTTACTGATACATAAAAAAAGTAAAAGTAAAGCTATCCCTGTACCAGGCCATGAAGGCCCATAGGGTTGTGAGACGTTGAGGGTCCCATATTATCTAGACAATCGGCTCAAAGATAGCGGTAAGGTTTTCAGCCTTATGCGCCGGCTGTGCTTTACTCCCCAGGAAAATCATTTATTTAATTCCTGGTACTCATTTCTGTTAGAGCCTGAGTGAACGCCAGGGCCATAGTGCAGCCAGAAGGATTAGGTCAATTTAAAAAATCCAATGACCTCATATGCAATTTTTAATACTNGACAGAAATGTAGTTCATTTATTTCACAGGCGCTTAATATATATTTGTTCCTGTCCTCAGTTGTAATTTTTTCCTCTCCAGATTTTCTGTTTCTGTACTCTTGTATTATTCCTTTCACCACCTATCCCCAAGTATACCAGCTATCTGGGTAGAGTGTTTGAATATCAGCACTAAAGGTATTCTTTTTAGCTTGCTCATATTTGTTCTTCATGTAAGTTCAGAATATGTATGTATTATCTGATGTTTGCTGTGAATGTTTTTCAGATATAAAGAGTGTAAGTTTGTAAGATAGGATTCTTTGCCCCTAAAATAGAATCCCACTATTATTCAGATCCATAACCTGAGGTGTTGAAATCAGTGTCTGCTTCTGCATACACCAAGCACATTTTCCTCCTCTGAAAGGAACCCGACTGTGACAGTAAATATGTTAAATTGCACCTCTAAAAATTTAAGTGTCATGTTTCACTCTTCTTCAGAATGTGCCAACATCAGTACCTGACACACCAGAAAGAACACCTGCATCAAGAACACAACAGCCATCCCTACTTGAACCACTTGTGGTGCAGTCTGAAGATCCCCCAGTCCGTCCCTACAAACGATTGCGTTCAGAAGCATCTGCTCCACCACCTTCATCAGCATCAGTATCAAGCCCATGTGTAGTGAATGAGGACACAAATATTGTAGAAATTGTGGAAATATCAAAACCAAAAGTAGAACCAGTTGAATATGAATCAGACATAGAAGAAGTAGACAAATTGCCTAATCAAGATGATCCTTTGGCACAGTTGTTAGGAGGAGAGAGCAGCAGTCATTCTCATCAAGACTCAGTGCAAGGTGAGTTGAAAATGGGATATTTTTTCTCCACCTTGATGGTCCAGTACAGAATTGTAACAACTAAAGCTACATGGAACAGAGAATTGTGAGGTTTTAGAGTTGTTTGTACAGGCATCCCTTTGTAGTTAGTTGTTTTGACACATTGTGTCAGAGTGAATATGTATCTTCCTTTCTACTATATCCAGAGTTCATTAGTGTGTAATGTATTCAGTACATCATTTTTATCAGAAGGATATCAGATTTAAAATAATGAATGCTGTGCGTTGTACTATAGAACAGAATTCCATTCTGTGTTCCAAGATTCAAACTAAACTGAAAATTGATATTACACCTGTCATGTTAAATAAACAAGTTTCCTAAAATAAAAAATCATGTTATGATTTAACTATGAATTAAAGTCAGCATTATAATACTACTATATATTCGTGCTGTTATCCGCTTTGTTCTTGCTTAAAACCTGAGTGCTGCAGAAATCCATCTTGAATTATGTGTGGTTTTCAGCCAAAATGTAACGAATGAAGGAACTATAAGACAGTGGTGTAGATTGTGAAGTGGTCTACCATCTGTAGTGAATGATGACCAACAAATTTGCGAAAAACAACAGTTCACAATTTCAGAACTATTTGCAGGACTCTCTTGTGCCATAGTTCTAGTAATGTGAAATGATAAAAATATAAAATGAAGTTATGCAGTTATTGCATGTTCATGTTTAAGTTAGTATACCAGTACCTGATTGATATTTGGAAGATCTGTAGTAACTCCTGGGGCTGTCGTGGTTTTGTGGTTTGTTTTATACCTTCCAAGAATAAAAGTTAAACTCTTCTAGCCCATTGTAATATGCCAGTGTGACAGATAGCTGTGTGTTGTATGTAGACCATTGTTATACATCATTCTCTGTGATAGATGATATGGAATTATATCTAAGAAGTCCTTAATCATAAAATATACAGTCAATAAAATGATAATGAAAATATGAGTATGCTCAAGTTATGGAAGATACCTTAATTAAGGTGACTCACAATATGTGCTTATGTGTGTAATTATTTCAGGAGCAACTCCAATATTTGCTTCAATACCAGGGCTGTCACAAGATTCTGGAGGGTCACAGGATGGCGGACAAGGTAGGAAACTTTCTTCTCTTTCATTTTTTATCAGTGCCCAGATATGGGTTTACATCCTAGGTGCTTGTGATGAGTTGCATTTATTATATTTGCGAATTGTGGGAAGTAGATGTGCCCAGTTTTCTGACCATTTTAAACCAAATGAGATGCATATTTATTTGACAGTTGTTTCATAAGGTATACTGGTCAGCTGTTTGCTAGTAACCATGGACACTTTATGTTGTTAAATGTCGTATATCATTCCATACGTGAAGTACATGTAACCAGTGTTTTCAGTTAATCAGCTTAACATCCAGTGTACTTAGGTTTATTATCTGTCACCTTGTTATATCAATGATTTATATCTCATTAAAATAGGACTTGCAAGATAAGTTCAGATATCTTTGTGATATGAAGTTACTCTGTGACCGTTTTCCTTCCATCGACATGTTATGGTTAGTAGAAGTATTCAGCATTATGACTGTTGCTGGTTGTTGGATTGCACATGTGGAGAGCTAAGTAACCATTTATTTTGTATTAGAACTTACATTGTTTATATAACCTTCATTTCTATACTCGTTGAAAAAAAGTGTTTTGTACATATTTAAAAAACATTTTTATTTTGTGCACTTTTAGTGCTCACCTGTCAACAGGCCCCACACTCTGTTGGCAAGCACTTAAATGAAGGAATTGAATTGAATAAACTGCTCTTTGCTGATGATATATATATGGTGATATTACAAAAAAAAATAAGAAAACTTGTAGAAAATCTTCTATGAACTGTGAAAAGTAAGCAGTATTTCTAATTACAACATTTCTGCTATTAAAAAAAAATTGTGGCATTGATCAGAAATAACTTAGGACAATAATTTAACTACAAAGATAGTTTCCAACTTCAGCTGTTTAGGCTGTAGTGTCATGTACGTACAGGGTTTGTCCGAAAAGTAATGTCAGTGAGTCGATTAAAAAACTTTTATGGATTAGATCGGTGCAACACATTAAAAGGCTTCAAAATAGGCTTCTTCTGCGTCGATACATCGATTCCAGCGAGATTTCTAGGCATCGAAGGCGTCATGGTAGGCCTCCTCCGGAATGTCCTTTAGAGCCTTGGTGCAAGCCTCTTTGACTTCGCCAACTGTCCCAAAATGATGTCCTTTCATGAGAGTTTTCAAGCGCGGAAACAAAAAGAAGTCTGGGGAGCCACGTCAGGACTGTAGGGCGGCTGGGGAACCGTTGGCACCTTTGAATTGGTCAGGAAGCGGGTCACGAGGAAGGCGGTGTGGGCTGGCGCATTGTCATGGTGAAGTTTCCAATCGTCCGCGATGTCGGGCCGGATGAGACAAACACTTCGTTTGAGTCTCTTTAGCACTTCCATGTAGAATTTGGCGTTGATGGTTGTACCATGTAGTACAAACTCACATTTTCGTCGGTGGTGCTTGTTGATGGCCGTCCAGCGCGGGCTTCATCGTCGACCTCTTCACGGCCTTCTAAAAAGGCCCTGTGCCACCGGTAGACCTGACATTCCGACAAACAATCATCACCGAAGGCCGTCTTTATCATGGGAAAAGTTTCCACTGCAGACTTGCCAAGTTTCACACAAAACATGATGGCAATCCTTTGTTCCAAGGAGCGCTGCATTGCGGCTTGCACGGGAGACAAAAACGAGTTTCACGGAAAAGCCTTTCGTCACTCTCAGGAAGTTCGGAGACGACTAAGCGACCGCGGGTTCATAAGCTGACTTCCCCCTCCACCGATCCCAACCGGTCTGAGAGTGCTGCGACATATAGTCACTTCACAATAAAATAACTGACATTACTTTTCGGACAAACCCTGTATAATTATGATCTAAATAAGGGAATAAGTACATTTCAGAGCATACATGGGAGAGTTTCGAGAACACTGAAAAAGAAAACTAGGAAAGAGGCAAATTTAATATTATGTAAGGTTATGGCAGTCCAGATGCTTTTATATGGTAGTGAAACATGGATGTTCAAAGAAGAGAGACTGGAATAGAATTCAAGCAGAAGAAATTAACTGCCTTAAAACTGTTAAAGGTTACACTAGGACAGAACAACTAAGAAATGTGGATATATAAAATGAGTTGGGTATCTTCCCTTTATATGAAAAAAAATTACAGGATATAGAGATAAATGTGTTGAAAATAAAGGAACCGACTTGCATTCCACTTCAAGTCTATAAATATCATCCGTTTAGCAGGCAAGACTTAGAAAGACCAGAAGAAGATGGAAAGAGTCATATAACAGCACTAGAAGCTGGAACAGGTGATTTGCTTAATCCATGAAGTGATGAGATTGTTGATGATTGAATGAATTACTTTTGCACAGAGTAGCTTCTATACTGTCACAGACTTACCTTAATATCATGAAGGTTCCTGATTTTGGGTCATAAAGCACATCTTCATTGGTTCAAGTAAAAGACAGCTAGATTTTATGTTCTAAATGGTCAAATTCTTTGTTTTTAAATTCTAATTCTAAAAAATGTATTATTAATGTCATGAACAGAGTGTCAGAAACATTACTATCATGAGGTGACAGCTGAAATAAGGCACATATTTAATATCAGTAATGACAGGAGGTTGATTTGGATTCATAACGTGAAAACTTTATTTAAAATAAATTTTACACATATCAAAATCAATAGCCAGGTGTGATATCTTAATGTATTGTTTCTCCCTTTTCCACATTTTTGTTAAGAATAGCCATGTTATCTTCATATTATATTAAGCTTTTTTTACAAACTGAAACATGGCCCTCTTGGTGCTTTCCAAGCTAAGACAGTTAAACAGTAGAACATGATTGGAATATAGCAACACAGATTTTTCAGTTCCTGTCCAGGAATGTACATGCTGCAGTGAAACTACTGAAGTTAAGCACTATATATACCAATGATGATAACAGAATTTATTTTTGATGTTTACATTTTCATATAATAAAAAACTGTGTACTTTAATCTACAGTCCAACCCTTTTTATATTCATATGGTTATTCCATGATGCTGTTACCATTCTGTTCAGAATCTTTAAACTGCCATCTCTTGCCTAAAAATGTAAAGAATAGAACTAAATACTTCCATATGGTGTGTGAGATGTCTTAATGCTGTGCCAGCATGTTCATTATGTTGAGGTTGCAGGGATCAGTTGAAGGACATTTCTTCGTGGTTTGCTAGGTGAGAGATCTTTTAGGTTGTAAATCTTCTCTTTTAGTCACAACTTCAGTCACTTATTTCACTGTAAACTGTATATTAACACTTTGCGGACTGCACACCCTGCAAAAGGTTTTTCGCTTTTAAACGTTGCGACCGGTGGCACATTATTATGACTTTAGGTCACGTTAGTTGAAACACACTATACCTTGCTCTGGCGCCACGCAACTGCAATGAATACTGCGTAATAAATCTTTGGAATGCGTGCTAGGTATTCAGTAACTTGACCTGGCTGGCTAGGGTCCCTACTCCAAAAGAAAATAAACTTTGCCCCTTCCAGCTGTTTATGTACCAGGCAGAAATTAGTAGAGGGGAATACCTTTCAAGGACAAAAGCGGTTGAAGGCAAGCGATCTCTCCGACTTGTTTATGGAGCTATCTGACTGCCTTGTGGAGGAGTAGTGATTAGTGACTCAGACAGTGGAAGTGACAGGGGTCAACAAAGAATTGTGGCCACAGATAATAAAAGTTAAAGTTGCCTTGTGGCTTATAAATTGTGCCATTTTCAATTCATTTTTGGTTTACAAAAATCTAAACCCTGATTCTAAATTGAAATACAAAGCATTTCTAATGAATGTGGCAAAGGCTTGGGCTACAGACCAGATGGTGGCGGCAGAACCAGAGTCAGACAGACTTAGTTTGACCTAGCCCATGAACTCCCACCCCACGCAGGCCTCATGTGGACACCCCTGGGCGACTCTGGGGGGGTGATATGCAGAAACATACCCTCATGAAAATTGTGAAGAATGAACATTCCAAGAGGAAGCATTCTAGGCAATGCCCTGTTTGTGCAGTTCACAAAAAAAGGACTATGACTGTCTACATTTGAAAGTATATAATGCCACTTCAAAAAGGGGAATGTTTCCAGGAATAGCACACTTTCAAGCACTTCTAGGAGCATTGGTAAGTGTTCTCCAAAAATTATAGTTCATAAAATTAATTAGGAGATTTTATATTAATTTTTAAAGCGAACAGTGCACAAGTTAGGGTAATAGGTATAAAAATGCCGGCCCCCAGGGTGATTTCAGTATTTAAATCGCCAGTCCGCAAAGTGTTAAGAGTGTGATTTTGCTCTTGTTTGTTCACTTTATTTATGGCACAGGTATAAAATGCAATATTATATTATGACTTCTGCTGTGTATATAGAGCATTTCTGCTTTAATGTTCACTGATGAAGCTAATCAGTAGGAGTAGATACCACAATCTAAAAAAATGTATTTTCAGAATTTCAGTAACATTCAGATAACTACGCTGTACATAGAAAGGACCCAACAGCCCCTCTCTTAACTTGATTGAATATGTGATGTGAGTTGTTGCAGGATACAAGAATATTTTGATAATTTAAAGCAGTTGCAGTATGCAAAATTATTGTTTTTGCTGTGGTAAATGATACAGTCCTCTTTTGTGCAGCATGATTTTAATCGAGGCAGCATTTTTTGTACATTATATAGGAGTTCTTCATAGTATTCTGTTTTAGAGAGAATTAATTGTACAGTAATAACAAATTTGCAGAATGCAGTCGGTGGGAAGACAGGACAGAAGGTAGTAAATAGAGTTACTAGTTGTAAATTAAGGGAGTTCGAGGTATATTTTTGTCTCACAAGGAACTATGCATTTTTAAAAGTGGATGTTCATACTGATACTTCTGAAATTTAAAGAATACAGGAAAGAGTTTTCAGTTTTTTCTTCAGTGTTATTAAATATGTCATGAATATTGGGGTGCGAAAAGGGTAGAAAGTGATATGTGAAAAATACAGTATGCTGAATTTAATTGTGTGGTATTTCTTTATACTGCTGGAA